AGTATTATTCAAACTCAAAGTTGCTTAAACCCAAATATTTCAAGGCCCTTAATTAATTAAAAAAAGGTGCACTCTTGTTTATAAGTTCTTTCCTTTTGCATTTGATCCCCTATGGATCATCTTTCAAATATTTCTCTTTAGTTGCTTATAGTTGTATAGTTGATGTTAATGTCTTTTTTCGAGCTTCTCGTCCTTCTTCATTTTCTTCTTATATTTTTACAAGCCTATTATTCCAACATCTGTGGATTTTTTGGACAAGGATTCCATGCCGACATTTATTATACTTGATGTTTAGTGTTCATAAGGTGTAGAACAAGATTTACATTTTCTTAATAAAGTTTGTGTAGCTCAAAAGGTTAAGCCATGGATTTAAAATCTTTGCAATGGGTTTGAGAATATTACATCACTTGTTGATAATTTATTATTTCGGCATTTACATTCTCAATATCGTTTTGAGGATGATTTTATTTTATTTTATGGGGACAAATCCTGATGATCATTTACAACTGGTGGTGCCTTTGATCATTATTCCATGTTTTCTCCACACCTACCATGATTTTGCTATTTTAGGCGAGCATATAAGATATCGTTATGTGACTGGAAAGTTGTGTAGGTCTTTTTATTAGCCAAAGATGCAATGTAATGTTATCTGGTATGTGCATTTAGTGCCAAGCTCGTAATACTCCCCCTCATGCTACAGAATTACAATTGGAGTTAATTGCAATTTCTTATCTATTTGAGTTAGTGGCATTTCAATATGACAGAGTTTTTTCAATAGTATATTGCTATTACTTCTAACTACTTGACTCAATAGGTGGAAGTTGGAGGTTTTGCTAATGCATTTGTAACTACTGTTGGATATTTCCTTCTCAATTGAGTGTTTAAGGAATCCTGTCCAAAATGAATGGTCATGCATTTATAACTAAGGCATTTCACATCTTAATGTCTCAATTGGGGACATGCTAAACTTTCATAAGTGTTTATCATCCATTTTCAGTATTCGGACTAAGATGGTTATTTGCCATCTCTTTGGTATATATATATCATAGGGGTGCAGAGTTCTATTAATGATTCTTTGTATAAACTCCTATATTGTCATAATTTGATACTACCAATAAAATTGAGTTTACCTTTAAGATTGCTACGATCTACTGATAATAATCTGTGGGATCAATATTTAAGAAACATTCTTCCACTAATCCCAGTAGAGTCTACTGAACACTTAGGCTACATACAAGTGGGACAACAACAGCATTATAACTTCTATAAAATACACCTATAAAATACAAAATGGATGACTTGGTGTTAGTTTATTTTCTCAATATTATGGTATGATGGAATGGACTATATTAGGTGTAACAGCAAAGTGTATAGCAAATTTATGTGATTTGGCACAATATTTAACAAGTTGATCTTCTAGAAATTGTGCATGTGCAATGGCTAAAACACTATATAAAGGGATCAAGAACAATTAACACCACCTATATATCCATTAATGCCTCCTCCTGATATTTCTTTGGATTTTAGTCTGTCCACTAAAGAATCTTGATTGTCTTTCATTATTTCAAGAAGAGGGGATGAAGAGTGTATGGCTATGATGTTGTATATTAATATTAATATCATAGAATTTTGATAGCCGTCGGATTAGTTTTAATCCAGACCACTCTCTCTTGTATATAAGTTAGGATTTTTAGGCTAATCAATATGCATATTTCTATATTCTATTTCCATATTCCATGCATTTATAAAGCCATATAATAAATCTTTTAAAAGTTTATTTTTTAAAAAAAATATAATATCTATTGTCTCAAATAATAGTTAAAGCTAAAACTTTAAAATGATATAAACTATATGGAATATAAAATTCAATTAGCTTCAAATCCCTAAATTATATCTCAGAGGAAACCAATTTAATGGCTACTAAAATCCCACTCTACTAATAATTATATATAATTGTATAAGTTATATATTTGGAGCTCACATTACAAAATTATTATTAAATCATTTAAGTGAATCTTTGCATAAAACTGTAGAAATTTCCATTAAAAAAAATTTTCTCCTAAATTTTTAAATTTATTAAATCAAAGTCTAATTTTAAGCTAATTTTACTAGAATTTTATCCATAAATAAACTAGCCATATGTTTATAAAAAAATTGTTATGTGTTACATGTAGCAACGTTCGGTTTGCTTAATAGTAGTTTTGTGACCATTTTGTGATCTCTTGTTGCGCATGAGGAGGTTCATTGAAAAGAAAAAATAAAAATGGATAAGTCATTTGCATGATGGTGCACTGACTTTTTTTCTATACAGAGTGGGGCCTAATGAACATTATAAAGAGTCTGTAATGTAATATATACATGAGCCACATTGCTCTTTGGTGTTACAATAGATCCCCTCACTAGGCATTTCAAGGGCTTGTAAAGGCAGTTAACCCACAACTCATTTCATTCCTTTTCTTTCTGATCCTTCAAGCTGGATCTCCTCAAAAACTAGTAGTAAGTGATAAAAGAAAACTACATTCTTACTATGCCTCCTGTTTCATTCCTCTTCAAGTGGACCTTGCAACTATGGAAACCCTCTATGTCAGCATGCCCCTCTTCGCATTTGTAACACTTGCAATGAGGTTTGCTGTGCGGGCAATAGATAATCCCTTCACCTGTGACTAGGCCTGGAGCCTTTTGTTTAGGGTCACCAGCAGTGATGGGCACAAGGTCACCTCATGCACCACCATAGCCATAAAACAAATCGAAATAAAGATCCAAGGCACAAGGTTATTAGGGATGGGGAAGACAACCAATTCAGTACCAACGGCCATAGCAAGCACCTCAAACATAGAGCTAGATCTAGGCATGACCATGCCAGACACCCACAACATGTCAAAGGAACATAGAAAACTATAACCCGACTACAGAACCACACAAGTAGACCAAAAGAATGAGGGTAAACATGAAATTAACTATTCATTTAGTGATGAGAAGTACGGGAAAGTAGACCAACACTCACTGTGTCTAAGGTATGCCATATGCTCATACCTTCTACTTAAGCTGCACTCGATTGAGGAACATAGACGAGGTGATCTTCAGCAAACATTGTGTTGTCATCAATGACAGAAACCTCATCCACTTCAAGGGCACCATGAAGCCCATACCTCTCCAACTGCTTGTAAATCTTCTCTGCCAGCAGCCATGCTGGAGGAATTCACACCTTGATCACCTCCATGCCATCATTGGCTCGCACAATTGTTACTGTTGTTGCCATACACACATCTGTATCCTATAAAGTGAACCCCATAATGGTGCTTCTAATAATGTTAATTATTATTATGATTCAGTTTTTATGATTCACTGCTACTCTATCTTTTGCATTCCCGCATTTATTGATACCATCATCAAATCATTCTATTGTTGTATCATAACGTTGTTATAAGGAAATAGTGAAATGTAAATCTATAGTTTATTTTAGAGTTACAAATTTATCCCTACTAATAATAGAATAAGTTATTGTTCATTTTATTTTGGATTTTGTCGCCTATAGAAGCTTTGAAACTTTGATGGAGTTTTTTAGGGTACAATACAGTTAAAATTCTCAATTTCATTTTTTGAAGCATAATACAATACTTCCAGACTTGAAGTTCAAGTTAATAATCACTTAGAAGACTATAGCAGCTTAAAGTGTGTTAGCAAAGCAGGCCTCTCATTGAAAATTGAAAACATTAGAGTTTTCTATAGGCACTGTGTGTGTGTATATTACACTCTTCAAAGTTAAGAAGATGAATGGTGTCTAGGGTTGGAGGCTGCCTCTTAGTGTAATTCAAAAGTGTAGCCTTCTGGCATCTCTGCTGTTGCATTGATCTTGTGATGTTGTGTTTGCTTCAGCCTTCTTGACAAATAATGACCAAGCTTTAAATGTTGTAGGGAAAGTCAACATTGTTTCAGCAGGAGCTCCATCATAGGATCCAACTAAAAAAGGTTGGGAAGGCTATCTCCCACCAGGCCAATCTCCATGGCCTACACAAGTTGTTCGCAACTTTTAGTACCAACTTTCCCACCTCAAAAGATATTCCCCTTGCGGATCCTTATGCAGCATTTTACACACCTTTGCTGGCTGACACCCATTTGCACCTGTAGTTCATTTCTTGTAGCATCTCATGCTTTCTATGGTTGAATTTTCCCTAAATTTCTTATTAATCCAGTTGATCCAATAAAGTTATATCAACTGAATAAAAAAGAATATACTAGAAAGGGTTTAAGAAAGTTTATAAATTATAAACATGTTTATAAATTATAAATACAAAATTAATCTAAATGAATAACAACCATTAGATAGTAGAATATCCTAGAATATCCAAGTATATTCTAGGTATATCCACTATGATCTTAGTCCCCTTACAAGTTTGCTTAAGCAAACCAAAAAAACAATAACAAAAGCAAAATTGAGATTTATAATTTTATTAGTATAACCATCTCTTTGAAAACGTGGTGAGCCTTGTCAACCCTGCCTGTCCTACACAACCCTTTATAAGAGCTGTGTGACTGATGACGCTGGGTGTGTTAAAAGTACCTTACAAATTTTATTATAAAACAAATTACATCTTTAGTTTCATTAAATTAGTGAAAAGAACAGAATTCTTCTTCAATTAAAAGTGTTATGAGAATCAGGTCCCCCTTGATCTTCATCATTCCCCTTCATGGAGGCAGCAGCAGCATCTCCAGCAGCTCCAGTGGTGGGCTTTGATCGCTTATTGGAGCTTCCCACCTCCTTGGCCTTCTTGGAGCAGTATATAGACCTCTGCTTCTTGGTTGATGCTGGTAAAACAAGTACACTCTATGAAATCTCTTGTCAGAGAGACTCCTTTTACTTGATGGGTGTTACGGATAGCAGAGCAGGGGATGAAGGTTCTCTAGATTAATCACGTTGCAACAGAATTAAGACGCTCGTATCCTGAGAGAGCTGTTTTTAAAATCCAGGTTTTCATGGAATCGCATGGTGGGTATATTCGGGCATTATCACGAAACTTTATATTTTAACTTTTTGTCCACCATATCTTAAGCTGAAATGGATTTAGTTTTGCCTATATATGAAAAAGGGTAATTAGATGAACAACCTTTAGTTATACTATTCGAGGAAATGACTCAATAAGGAAGTGTTATACACAAGGGGTGCTTGCCTGGGGACTACACTTCCAAGGAATGAAGCAAAACTTATTCGTTACCTCTCCTGTTAGTAGATGCTGGCGCGGCCAACTCTCTGGACTTCCTCCAAGTCTCTCAAGAAACTGGAACCAAACAGGAGTAAGTTCTTAATTCGCTCGGCAAGCCTGGGTCTACCTTTTTGAGTTGTGCACCACGGTGCCCCCAAGGAGGACGCGAGTCCCTGGATTGGCAGCGTTTTGGAGAGCGACAACTCGAGACTCGGCGTACGTAGTACCGCCGATGATGAAAATCACCACGTCCTGTGGCTTGCCTTGCTGAGCGTGGTTACCGACGAACGGGTAATCTGCGTCCTTGAGTCGCCCCTTGACGATGCTCTCAATCAAATGGAAAACTAAAGGTTGGTGCTGCGTATATACATTCTCGACTCCCTGCAAGCCACAACACTTTAGCGTTCCTTCAGTTGCTCAAATGATTTGCTACCTTCAATCCACGAGCCATTGTCCGAGCTCTATTGAAGAGATCCCGGTTGCTGAATAGATCTCCTGTGCGTTTTTCTTCACCCGCTTGCTTTAAGAGGGAATATAGCAGCTGCATCCAATCGTTTGATGTTACTATCCAGAAACTGTAAAAGAGAGCGTCCTTACGTTGGAGTTGTATTTGCTACGTCCCGCATTCAGCCTGTCCACCAGTTCTTGCAGCTGCTGTGGGTTCTCTCTCTCGTACCGCAAGGCGTAGAGCATAGCCAGCCGCAGCTTTTCGTCATCGGTCACGCCTGGTAGCTCCCATTGGGCATTTAGCTCCTACAAATCGTTTAAAAAAATTAGCGAAGCAGACAAAAACAAAAACGAGAGTGTAAGGTGGAGGGCACTTACATCCCATGCTGCAGCCTGGCTTGAATGACAAGCTAACTCTTGCTCAGCTTGAGAAACTGACATCAACTTCCGCTCATCCACAAGTCTGCTCATTTCAGTCATAAGAGCTACGTGCTTTGAAACATTGCCTTGCATTTTCCGAAACTCGGGATAATTTTCAACGAATCTCGCCATATCCTCTGTAGTATTCTAGAATTAGCCCAAGACAGAAAGCGCAAAAACAGAGAGAAAACGAACCTAGAGACTGTATATTTTGATTGCTTTTATGCTGCGATTGGAAAGTGTCCACCATCTTCTTCACGTTCATCCCGAGATCACCAAAGTTTTCGAACATATTGCTCCTAAAAAATGGATCTTGCTCAGAAGATAGTACCACCTCCTGCGTAGGAAATTTAAAAACATGAACCAAAGTGAGCTCCTTACTTGCTGGTCCTTGGGAACTCGTGAGTATTCTCTCAAATCCACTTTGTTATCCTGTATTCCAATCAGCTCGTGCACCATGGCCTGGAAAAAAAAAATGAGCGAAAAAGAAATGATAAAAGAATATTAAAACCTGGTAAGTCCATTGATTTAGAAGAGGCGTCACAGGGTCGTCCCTTCTGTCGATTATCAAAAGTAGTGGCAGAACCTCCGTTCGTCTAAAATCAAATAATGCGGCTTCTTGTTCATACATTAGCCTCTGCAAAACAGCGTAGGCTCGATCATCTGGTCAGAAAAAACAAATATCTATTCTTACGGCTGCGTCTTGAGCAATCCGTCTGGCAATCTCAGAGTTGCGAGAATAGCGAATAACAGGGCGTTTCTTTAAAGCTAGAAACACAGACGAGACGCCTTCTATTATTCTCTCGCAGAGCGGCTGAATTTTGGTAGGATCAAATAGCAGAGGGACCATGTAGAGATGATTAGAAGGTGTGTTGAGAGTAAAATGGTATGGATCGAGGGCAATAAAATCGGCATAGAACTCCTGCAAAGTTTATCGCTCCTGTGAGAATGCATTCGTAAGAACTACTAAAAGAGCGCGTGAGTAAAATCTCACCTGGACCTGCTGCACTGCCTCATGCTGGTCAAAATCCGCGAGGTTTTGGACGAAATTTGTCTTGAGGATGTTTGAGAAAACTAAATCAAGAATCATCATAAGACGCTCAAAGAGAAAGAGAGAAGAACTTACATAGATGGTATTCTCCAAAGCGTGGTTGGCCGAGGATCTCCTTCAAGTTTTGCATATTTTCTGCTGTTGGCCGTAGAAAGCATACTGCTTTCAAGTGAGTCATGGGCTCCGAAGACGTGCTTTCAGCCTTTTCCACGAGGAAAACTTCTTTCTGGAGCAATTCAGACTGGCTTGTAGCAACGCTCACAATTGCTAGCTGCAGGAAGGGAACAACGAAATAAAAGGAACACTAAAAAGAAGAAAGAAAAAACAAAACAGCAAAACAAAATCCGCAAGCCATACCGTTTGCGCGTCGAGGACAAACACCTTCATCCCCGCAATGTCGCTCAGCATCTTGCTCACATAATCCCGCACCGCCGCCACCAAAACCATCTTTACCTCGATCCGAAGGCGCCGACGAGAGATCTCGGGAGCGCGACGCCGGCGGATTCAGCTCAGCGCCTCAGATCTGCGCGGCAGCGCCACGCATTGTCTTCTCGCCAAAACCCTAAAAAATGGCTCTCCTGGGAGCATATTCTATTTGGAAGAATTTATTTTGTTCAAGGCACGTAGGCAGTGACGTGGCCTCTTTCTCTTTCTTCCAGGGTCAGGAATTAGGGTTTGCGGGCATTGCGCGATGGAGGAGGACGATGGCGCCGCGCCGATCTACTTCCTCCCTCGCCTCGCTCTCCCATCGCTCGCGCGGCCCGGCGAGTCGATCCTCCCCGCGGTTTCTTGGCTCGTCGCCACGCTCCTCCTGGCGGGCTTTTTCGTCTATGTTGCGATCCAGTGGCAGCGCAAGCTGGCTATCCAGTGGATGAAGGCCGCAGCTCACGCCAAGCGGCGATCCAGGGGCAGGGTCAGGGCGCCAAGCACCGCGCACATCTGGAGCCAGGAATCCAGCAGCTCGCGGCCGCGGCCATCGACGTGCTTCGTCTGCCTCGATACCATCACTCCCTCGCAATCCCTCTCCTCGGTCTCCTCCGGCGCGGTCTACTCGCTCCACCGCTGCCTCGTCTGCGGCGTGGCATCGCATCTGGGCTGCTCCAAGAGCGCGGCCAAGGATTGCAAGAGCGTCGCCATGGCCGGGTCCTCTTCTAGTTTGCTCCACCAGTGGGTCGAGAGGTGGATGGACGTGGATGATATCCCAGAGGACAGGGCCTACTGCATGCACTGTGACGAGCCTTGCAACGCGTCGTTCTTGGGTGGAAGCGCGATCTGGCGGTGTATGTGGTGTCAGCGCCTAGTTCATGTGGATTGCCACTCCATCCACTCGAAAAACTCGAGTGAGCTCTGTGATCTTGGGATGCACAAGAGGTTGATCGTCTCGCCGCTGTGGGTGAAAGATGCCGGGAAGAGGATGGTCGGGCTTATCAGCTCCATAACTCAGGGAGCCAACGAGCTGGCCTCGTCCGTGCGTGGACAGATCAGGAAACGAAGGAAAAAGGGGAAGAGGTCGAGTGAAAATGTAAACGCTTTGGCTTCGAGCTCCTCCGAGGCTTCGAGGATCTCCACCGACGGAGTGATTTCTGATGGAGATAGTATGCGAACCAGCTCGGCAGAACTTAAGGAAGTTGACGAGGTGACGAATGGAAAGCTCAACAACGAGCTGGAGGTGGTACACGGTCCCTCGGCGAAGCAAAAGTATCAGCTGGTGGAAGTTCCGGGGGATGCGAGGCCTTTGCTCGTGTTTATCAATCGCAAGAGTGGAGCTCAGCATGGGACGGCTCTTCGACGGCACTTAAACATGCTGCTCAATCCCGTCCAGGTACGCGACGTCTTCTTGAGTTTGCCTGCTGGTGTGGTGTTTGCGTTGCGCGGCCGGCTTTTAGAAGTGCAGAGCTTATTGCATTGTTAACGTAGGAACACTGACTCGGTACTGCTATAAACAGGGTGAGTCTGGGCGTCGGGTTACAGTCAGGATGCTTGAGTCTGGTTTTTCGTACGCGGCAGAACGTTCAGCTGGCACGAACAGGTTGTATGGCTCGTTCTTTACTTCTTTCAGGGTCATTATGCATGCGTTTCAGCTAGATAGTGAGTTTTTCCTTTTGCATTGGACGGTGCCTTACGGACGTGTTCTTGCTCGTGGTTGATGCAGGTGTTTGAGCTTAGTAAGGCTCAGGGACCGGATGCGGGATTGGAGTTCTTCAAAGGCTTCGCGCACTTTCGGATTCTGGTTTGCGGCGGGGATGGCTCGGTTGGCTGGGTTTTGGACGAGATTGAGAAACGTAACTACGAGTCTCCTCCTCCCGTAGCCATTTTGCCGATAGGAACTGGGAACGACTTAGCCAGAGTTCTTTCGTGGGGGGGAGGATATGCTGCCGTTGGAAGGCAAGGTGGACTTTACAACATGCTACACGAGGTTGATCATGGAGCGGCTTCGATGCTTGATCGATGGCTTGTTCGCATCTCTGACAATTACTCTAAGCCGGGAGAGGAGATTGTGGCTGAGAAGTACCTGAATAACTACCTCGGTACGTTCTCTTCACTGCATTTCGTTTGTATTGCTAATACGATGGTGGTTGCCATGTAGGGATCGGGTGCGACGCAAAAGTGGCTCTAGATATCCACATGCTTCGTGAAGGGAATCCAGAAAAGTTTTACAATCAGGTACTCTCTCCTGGCAGTTTATGATATCAAGTCTAAAGCTGTGTTCTTACGTACAGTTCCTCAACAAAATGCTGTATGCTAAGGAGGGTGCGAAAGACATCGTGGACAGAACTTGCTCTGATCTCCCCTGGCACCTCCGTGTCGAGGTCGACGGCTCGGAAATCATCATACCAGAGGTTTGTTTGAGCGTTTCTTTCGCAAGTCGAAGCTCCTCGTCTCTTAACGTGACAGGACACGGAAGGCGTTTTGTTCACAAACATTGGCAGCTACATGGGCGGCGTGGACTTGTGGCAGAACGAAGAGGAGCACGAAGACGAGTTTGGGCCGCAGTTCATGCACGACAAGATAATTGAAGTGGTCGGGATTTGTGGGACTTGGCATCTGGGAAAGCTGCAGGTACGAGGGAGAGATAGAGAGTTCGTGCCTTGTCTGACACACAGCTTGCTTGTTTTCTCCCTTTGACAGGTTGGTTTGTCCCGTGCTCGGAGGCTTGGACAAGGACGTCATATCAAGATATGGATGTCCGCTAGCTATCCTGTACAGATCGATGGCGAGCCTTGGATCCAGCACTCGTGCACGTTTGAGATATCACACCACGGACAGGTACAAGGGCAGAGAATTGTTTTCGATTTTTTCTCCGCCTTTCTCTTTTCTCTTTTCTCTTTTCTCGATCTAGCCGAGGGACTGATTCCTTCCTTTCCCGTTTTGGTTTTTCTCTAAGGCTTTCATGCTCAAGCGCACGCAAGAAGATGCTAGAGACCACGCCGCTGCGATCATGACAGAGATTCTCGAGAACGCCGAGTGTGGTGGAGTTATAAATGCTTCCCAAAAGCGAGCGCTTCTCCAGGAGATGGCAGTACGCTTGTCCTCCTGAGAGAGTCTCTTTTGCGGCGTTTGTACATAGCTATAGAGAGGTATCGTTAGTCCATCTTTCTTCTTTTAACGATGTTTTCCTTTTAGTAGGTGTTCGTATGTGAACCGTCGGATCTTCGTCCACAGGTAGCGGCTGAGATGCGTAGTAAAAGAGAGAGAACGAGAAACCACGCACTGTGCGTGAAGCTTTGGATTCGTTTAGAAATAAAAGTTATTTTGTAACATAATTTAGGGCTCTTTTTCTCTCTCCTCTCCGGCGACGGCAGGCAAGCGAGCAGCCGTGACAAGGGAGCAGCGCTCCGCCATAGCTCCCTCTGTAAGTCTTCTCCGCGCGATTCTATCTCCAGGGCCGCATTCCTCGTCATCGATGGCATCCGTAGCAACAGAGTAGAGGTTTTGGTCGAGATTTCGGTGGTGATGGTTTTGGGAGATTCTCGGCGCTCTCAGCCATGTTGAAGCGGAGGCAGGGCACTCCTCCAGAGGCTTCCGCCCCGACGAAGCGGCCAAACACGCGATCCAGGTCCCCCATTCCCGTGGGGGCGAATGGGCAGCCACTGGAGGTGATCCCTGGCAAGGGCGAGACGGTGTCCAAGGTTCCTAGCGTTACCAAGCAGAAGATTGGGCAGCCCCATCCGGCCGTCGCCGCTACCGTCCAGGCCGAGCAGGCCGTCAATAATCCGGACAGGGAGCTCGATTCGTCTCGAGCTCCTGGAGCTGACGCTGTCGTTCAGATTGAGAACATCTCACACGGCCAGCTCGTCGTGCCGGATGAGGCGCCCAGTGATGATACCAGCACAGTTTCTTCTTCTACTCCGGTTGTTCTTCCCAAGGCTCCATCGCTAGCTCAGCACAAGCAGCTCAAGCAGCAAGCACACATCGTTCCAACTCACGCAGGTAAGAAATCCTATCGTCTCGCGACGTCTTACTTAATACTTTGGATTGTTTTCTAGGATGGTTTTCGTGGACTGGCATTCACACTCTCGAGAAGCGTGGCCTGCCCGAGTTTTTCAACGGGAAGACCAAAATGAACACGCCGGAGCTCTACATGGAGTACAGGAACTTTCTCATACAGAAATACCGGGAGAATCCAGAGAAGGTTTTGGCGATCTCGGACATCCAGGACTTGGTGGTCGGCGATCTCAATTCTGTCCGACGCATCATTGAGTTTCTTGACCACTGGGGGCTCATCAACTATCACGTAACAACAAGGCCGGGACAGTCTTATCCTGCTTGGCAGGGAACGCCTCCAAAGGTGGAAGAAAACAATGCCGGGGAGCTACATGCTGTCCCGCATTCCGTGAGCCCTCTTGGAAGTCTGTACCAGTTTGAGACTCCTACAAAGTCTACGTTCCAGACTCACTTGGATCCTGTCGCTGCGCTTGCCGAAACTTTTGTTTCGGAAGCCTTGGCATCGACACCAGGTCCGGCAGTCGAGTACCATTGCAATGCTTGCTCTGCCGACTGCTCCAAGCGGCGTTATCACTGCCAAAAACAGGTGCTTTTCCTATAGCTAGCGAGTGATCATTTTTTCTTCTTCCACCACCTATACTAATTCTATCCTCATTTTGGCAGGCAGACTTTGATTTGTGTCCGGATTGCTACAATGATGGAAAGTTTGGCCCGGGCATGTCGACATCCGATTTCATCCGATTGGACGCTTTGTCGGATGCTAATTCCGATGATGGTGGCTGGACGGACCAAGAAACTCTACTGCTGCTCGAGGCGTTGGAGATGTTCGGCGACAACTGGAACGAGATTGCCGAGCATGTAGCGACCAAGTCAAAGGCTCAGTGCATACTTCACTTCATAAAAATGCCTATTGAAGACTCCTTTCTGGACGATGTCGAGGCTTCCGCAAGCATCACTGCGGCCTCAAAGCACACCGAGGAAGACGGAAAGCTGGCAGCAAGAGAGGATACGGTCTTCAAGGCCATAATGGAGGCGTCAGCATCTAAGGACTCTTTATCGGGTCCCGACGGCTTGATAGCTTTCGCTGACGCTGGCAATCCGGTAATGGCGCAGGTATGTGTCTTCATCCATTTTTGGCATCAAGAGAAGTAATTTGTGATTTTACAGGTCGCCTTTCTCGCTGCAATGGTCGGTCCTCGAGTCGCAGCTGCTGCTGCACAATCTGCATTGGCGGCGCTGTCCGAAGGCGATCCTGCCACGCAACTGGCCGCCAGAGCTACTTTTATCTTGGATGATCCTGCCACAATTCCTCTTCCACCTTCATTGGACAGGTTGTCATCTTTATTCCGTAAATGGGATTGGTCATAAAAGGTTTTTTGGCTCAGGTCAAATGGTCCAACAAAGGATGAGAACGAGGCACCAAAGGATGAGTCGAAACACATAGAGGATGGTGGCGGTAAGACTGCATTTGGTCCTTGGCGTTTCTCATAATCGCCTGCTTTGGATTTTCTAGCAGATCAAACAGACAACGACAAAGAAGCCAAGCCAGAGAAGAAGAAGGCAGACGAGTCTGGTCATCAGAACGCTCCTTCCGCAGAGCGCATCCGTAACGCAGCCGCTACAGCTCTTGCAGCGGCAGCGGTCAAGGCAAAGCTACTGGCCGACCAAGAGGAGCGGGAGATGCAACGTCTAGTGGCCAGTGTGATCGAGAACCAGGTACGGGAGAAGAAAAATGTCGTCTTTTGTATATCCTCCTTTATAATGCTTGTTGCGTTGGTTGCCAGCTAAAAAAGCTCGAGACAAAGCTCAAGCATTTTGGTGAGCTGGAGGTCATGCTGAAAAAGGAGTACGAGCACATTGACCGCGCCAGGCAAAAGCACTTTGCCGAGCGCGCTCGGTTGCTACAGTCCCGGATCGCGCCAAACACAGCGGCCGGGGAGATGCCGTCGGGGCAGCAGCAGCAACAGCAACAACAACAACTTCAGCAGCAGCAGCAGCAGCAGCAGCAGCAGCAGCAGCAGCAAATCCAGCAGCATCAAATGCAGCAAATCCAGCAACAACACCAGCAGCAACAGCCATTATCGTCCCTCTCACCGCTAACTTTTAACAGGCCGGCTGCGCTCATGGGCCAAGTAGTTCCAGGTCCGAGCACCCTGAGCAGCATGGCAGCAGCAGCAGCAGCTGGAGGAGGTGGTCCTCCTTCGTCGCTTGCTGCCTCGAGCTCTCAAAGGCAGCAGTTTGGGTTTGGATCGTCGGGACTGACAGGATTGGCACCCTCAGCGGCAGAAGCTCCGGCCAGACCTCCGTTTCCCTCGGCAAACAACACAGCGTGATCATCGTAAAGCGCGAGCCAGTCACAAAGAGAGACGGTGGACACAAGCGTGGACTATGGAAGTTCTTGGTTCTTGAGGGGAGGAGCTAGTTCTCGAAGAGGAGAGAGATTTGTGACTCGTATACTCGAGTTCTTCCAAAGCTTGTCACCGGCTTCAGAACAAATGGATATCGAGCAACCATCTCTTGTAACCATTAAAAAGGAAGATTAGTGTATAACATAATCACAATCGATTAAATTTTGGACGATTAAACAGTTTTGTCCATTTCCAACGTTTGAGAATTGCTTCTCCACTGGTAAAATATCACAGGGTTCTTTTTCAAATAGTTACCAGTGACAATCTATGAGTCGTTGATACATCTTATCACCCCTTGGGCGAGAGGACGTGGCAACTTGTCACTGGCACACTTTCTCCCACGTGGCAGTGGCCCAGGGCCAATGCAAGCCGGCTAATAATAAAGGGTAAAGATTAGCAGTTAACCCATGTGATTAAGAGGAAAATGGGGTGTTTAATTACATCAAGTTTTTGCCCCCATCGCCAGTAGATCCCAGTTACAACGCCGGACCTAATCCCCTCTCAAGTGTGGGTGTTTTTCCCCTCTCCACTCTCTCCCTCTCCCTCTCTCTCGCCCTACGCGCCTGTGGTAGCGCGCTCGTCCAGCGCCGGGATCGCCGTGCAATGGATCGCGGCGGCCGCTCCAATGCGAGGCAGGATCGATCCAGTTGAGCGGCATTTCGCGCGTGGATCGATCCAGTCCAGGGAATGTGCAATGGTAGGGCAAGTCCAGCAGATCAGCGGCTCCGGGACAGCGGCATCGGCGTCTCACAACATCCATGGCCATGGCGATCCACAGCAGCAGCAGGGATTAGGGTATGGTGGGGGCGGAGCGGCGGTGGCGGCGGCGAATGCTGGCAGCGGCGGTAATGGCACGGGAGATGCGGTCATGGCGCGGTGGCTACAGTCGGCGGGGCTCCAGCATCTGGCAGCGCCGCTGGCGGCGGCGGCGCTAGATCATCGCCTCCTCCCATCTCTGCTCATGCAGGTTTGTGGTCTCTTTTCTTTGTGCATTTGCATTTTCGTGGTGGAATGGATAGGCAGAAAAGTCGAGATTTTTGGAGTCCTGGGGCTTGAATGTTGCTGGGGCCGATCCATCTAGTTGTGATTGAGTGAGAGGGAGAGGGATCTCCTCGCGAGATCTCTGCGTGTTACTGGGCTGTTAGTTAAAAACCAAGCTGGTAGTTTTCCCGGTTAGTGAATGGATCTGGGCTTTGATGCGTAGACGCTACTTTTGTTTTTTTTCGTTCGTTTTTTGTTTCCTTTTGCCCGTCCCTTCTTGTTTGGTTTTCCTCGTTTTCTATGCTTTCTTTTTCTTGCAATGGAGATACAGGCACTGTGGTGGTGTTGTCAAGAAATCTCTGAAGTTTTGAGTTTCCTGTGGATCAGGACTACGCTAGGTATGGAGTTCAGTCTCTGGAGGATAAGCAGAAGCTCTTCAGGCTGATAAAAACCATTAGCAGTGGCCCAGATCATGTCTCAGAACCATCAACACCACCTCAATATGTCCGTTCTGCCAGCCAGATTGGCATGGACAGCATCTTGTCACCGGAACTTAGGGGTGACTTTGGGGCGGGGATTTTGGATATTCATGCCATGGATGACTCGGAGCTTTTATCTGAGGTAATAGAATCACATTCGTTTTTGTTTTTCCTTTTTGTTCTTTTTTTTTTCTTGTTCCTGGTGTCTCGTTTGTGAATGTGGGTGGGATTCTGCTTTACTGCCTTCAAGAACTCTCTAAACAAGTGGAAGCTCACTTTGTTCATTGTCCGCCAGGCTGGAGTTGCTGAACCATTTGAGCCATCGCCTTCATTCGTTCCCGTTATCGAAAGAGGCTTTGAGGCCGATCCTGATATTGGAGGTGGCTCTAGGCTACCAAGTAGCAGACTCAAGAGTCGAACCGATGAGAGTCCTCTAAGATCTACCTCCAATGAAAAAGACCGAGCAGTGGGAAAGGATAATGGACTAGCAAGAATAAAAGTTGTGGTAAGTGTGTGCCTGGCTTTACATTGTTCATTTTAAAACCATGTTTTCGCCTGCTAGGTTCGTAAACGACCTATCAACAAGAAGGAGCTTGGGAGAAAGGAAGAAGACATCATCACCATTGAAGATTCTGGATGTTCAGTGATGGTTCATGAACCAAAGCTGAAGGTAATTTGTTTGATACGCCGCATGAACTTATCTAGATTTTGTTGTAAACGCAGGTAGATTTAACAGCATACGTTGAAAGGCACGAGTTTGTTTTTGATGCTGTTCTGGATGATCACGTCACCAATGATGAGGTATTTGACCATGCCCTTAATCATGCCATCATCCGCTTCTTGTTACAGGTATACCGTGTCACAGTTGAGCCCATCGTGCCTACAATCTTCCAGCGTACCAAGGCTACGTGCTTCGCGTACGGTCAAACAGGTTCGCTGTCCTTTAGTTCCATTTTTGTCGTGCATTCACCTGGATTAGTGCTGTAGGAAGTGGAAAAACATACACTATGCAGCCATTGCCCCTCCGCGCTTCCAAAGACATGTTGGACATTATTCAGCACCCAGCAAACCGAGGTCAGCAATTGCAGCTATGGTTGAGTTTCTTTGAGATTTACGGGGGAAAGCTCTACGATTTACTGAATGATAGAAGGTACGTAGTTTATTACGACGCGTTGTCAAGTTTTTCATGACTGGTTTACAGGAAGCTATGTATGAGAGAAGACGGCCGTCAGCAAGTGTGTATTGTGGGCTTGAAGGAGTTCCAGGTCTCAGACGTGCAAATCGTAAGGGACTATATAGACAGGGGTAATTCAGCTCGAAGCACTGGTTCTACTGGTGCAAATGAGGAATCTTCCAGATCACATGCTATCCTTCAGCTTGTGGTAAAGAAGGCTCAAGATCGAGTTGGTCGGATCATTGGAAAAATGTCTTTCATTGATCTCGCAGGCAGTGAACGTGGTGCTGATACCACTGATAACGACCGTCAAACAAGGCGAGTGACTGAAGTTTCTTTTGCATATATTAAGTCACTAATTTTGAAGGTTTTCCCTTGCAGGATGGAAGGAGCTGAAATCAATAAAAGCTTGCTTGCTCTGAAGGAGTGTATTCGCGCACTTGATAATGATCAAGGACACATCCCCTTCCGGGGTAGCAAGTTGACTGAAGTGCTGCGGGATTCGTTCGTTGGAGATTCGCGAACAGTGATGATATCATGCATTTCTCCAAATACTGGCTCTTGCGAGCATACGCTCAACACTCTGAGATATGCTGACAGGTATCGTTTTCAAGTACTTTTGTTGTTTCCGTAGTAGAACATGATCCGTCCTTGGCAGGGTAAAGGGGCTGTCGAAAAACAGTAATGCTAAAAGAGACCCAGTTGCTACGCGGGAAATAACATCCTCTCCTCCTCTGTCATCACCCTTGCAGTCGCTCCCTCAGCTATCGGAAGACTCCAGAAGCTTAGAAAACGGGAAGCGCTCTCTCGAACAATTCGGATGGCCAAATGAACCAGAGATGACCTCTGCATTCTCTGGAGATTCGTCAAATAATGGAGCTAGAGATGATGGACGATTGCTCTCAGCGTCCAGCGAAAGAGAGCGGCAGAGCTTCAGGGACACAAACGGCCAGTATGATTATCCTGGAGCGACAGACAACGACCAGGACCGGCCTCAAATTGTTCTTCCGTCACGCAGAAGAACGGTCCGGGACGAAAAGGTGGACAGATACCCAAGTTTCAGTTCCAAGGACGAACCGAGTGACTTGCAATACGGAAATCCCAAGCGGGCAAACTACAAGGACGAGGTGGCCCCAGCTCCTCTGGCTGCGAGGGGAAAAGAGTTACGTGACACGGATATGGTGCAGATGGGCTACGATGGACAGATAAATGCCATCCTTGAGGTACGTGGTTGAAGCTTATAATCGTTGAAAATGTATATGTGGTTCCTTTGTTTCTTAAATCAGGAGGAAGAAGAAGTCATCTCCGCTCACCGCAAGGAAGTGGAGGACACTATGGAGATTGTTCGAGAGGTAAGCTGTTCAATCTTGTTAGAGCTCTTCCTCTTAAGAGACGCTTTTTCGCAGGAGATGAGACTCTTGGCGGAAGTTGATCAGCCCGGGAGTAGAATAGATCGTTACGTATCCCAGCTCAATTACCTCCTGTCACGCAAGGCGGCAGGCATCGTGAACCTCCAGGCCCGGCTCGCGAGATTCCAGCGCCATCTAAAGGAGCAGGAGATCCTCAGTCGTACCGGCGCGCTTCGATGAGCGGAAAACTCTCTGCCTCTATACGGGCGGAAGTTTTCAGCTTGAAAACACGAGCACAGGCGATTGTTCCAGTCGAGAGGTGAATCTCTTTTATTTTTCTTCCACTTTTCTTGTCATGCTACTGTGTCGTGGCTAACCATACAAAGCGTGGTGGTGGAACCATGAATGGTTGTGTGTAGGCAGGCGGTTTATGTGCGGCTGGTCCGGTAATTTGTTTGTGATACCATCCATTTATATGAGACACCGTTTGCAATTGATAATGTTGCGAAAGAGAGCCTCTTTCCTCGATCGAATCATTCAGTGATCACAAAGAGAGATTAGATTACTAAAAGCTTTCCGGCGTGATTAGCTTATCACCTTTATCACTGATAAGTTAATGAAAAGTCAATATAGTCAATGACCTAATTTTGATCTATCCCCCTTTGGGAAAGCTACTAGTGCTTTGCAGCAGCACATCTTTATCTCTCCTTGATGCTGCTCGAGATATATATTCGAGATCGGTGAGCGGATGCCGAAGGCATACAGCAGATTGTTTACTTGCATTGTTCTTGTCCACTTCTGCAATGCGGTCCTCTTTACTTATCTCTTGTACTGAGATTCACTTGTCCTTTCAGATTTTTACTCAGTATTTGACACAATTTCTCTAGCTTCTTTCATATCCGAAGTCTTAAGCTTGAAGGACCACGTTCTTTCCAAATCTAGAGGAAGTTTCTATAGATTTATAATTTTCAGGGGCAAAAGAAAAGGGGTGAAGGGCGCTAAAGGCGGAGGGTTCATTGTCAATGTTGGATGGGATCCCCAACTTTTGTATTGTATAGCTCAGTTCCGTGCTGTTGAGTTGTTGCTGTCAACTGTAGTAAGAAGAGCAAAGAATATATCAACATTTCCTGCAATCTTCGGTGACTGCAAACAAGATCTTTTTTGTGCGTGTTTCACGTGGTACTCTACAGGAACCACACCATAAAAGGGTGAGGAGCTCTTGTTCATTTGTAACAAAAATGGGGACTCCAGTATCTGCAACCACAACTTTGCCTCGCCACATGACAATCAAGGGTGAGAATGGGAGGTATCTGGCACTCAAATCGGATGGGCTCCTCACATTTGATGCTGACCAGAGAAGTTTCCTCACATGCCACGAGGTGATCTACAATTTCGACGACTCCGAAGGCACCTTCTCTGTACGTGCTCCAAACGGCAGATTTTGGAGGCGTAATCCTACTAACTGGATTCGAGCGGATGGCAACACACAGCCACCCCCTGTGACCGACCAGAGGACCCGCTTCAAGCTCGTGAGGTTTGAATCAGGCCGGCTGGGATTCCTGTCTGCACTTGATGATCGATACCTCAAGCGCTACGACGCCGCAGTCCGTGGGTACAACGCCGTGCAATCCCAGCCTGACCCTTTCAGCCAAGTTGAGGTGAGCGATGGTTCCGAGCATGCAATTCACCTCCCACGTTTCATCACGTTCAAGGGAGACAATGGCCAGTTTCTGCTTGTACGCCTCCTACGAAACGACAGAAACTGGTGGCTCCAGTTCAGTGGTGCGGAAAACGATGTGTCCAAGGATGAGGCCATCAACAACGTAGTTCAGATGGTTGATGGCAGCTTAGCATTCTACAACATTCACAGGCAAGCTTATTGGCGCAACAGTGCTCTTGGCCCAAACGACAGGGGCGATTGCTGGGTATGGGCAGATGGACCTGCAGAAGGAGATGAGAGATGCCATTTCTGGCCCATAAGGCTGAGCACCCAAATGCTGGCCCTCAGGAGCAAATACAACGACAGGCTATGCAAAAGGCTAACTAATTTTTGGACTAACTGCTTGTCCGCTACTGCAAATGGCACAAACGATGTAACAACGCGTCTTACCATCAGTGAAGCTACACTCTCGAGATCGATTTTTAACGTCACGTACCTTCTCGAGCTGGCTACCACCACGGATCAGAGGTTACTCATGGTTGGCCAGGGCTCGGTCGTCAATAATCGGAACGAGCCCGCAGACATGACTGTCACTGTGACTTTGTTGCAGAATGTTTCCACGCAAAGGACATTTTCAAACTCCTACACCATCACCCAGAAGATTTCCACCACGTTCACAGCCGGCATCCCCAAGATCGCTGCCAATCAGACTACCATTGAGATCGGCGCTGAGCAAACATTTAATAAGGAATGGGGTGAAACAGAGGAGGAAGGCGTGCAATTCCAGACTGAATACCTCGTCCGTAACGTTCAACCTCACATGACGGTACGCTTCAAGTTTAATTTGGCTAGTTATACTAAGGAATCATCTTAATGTAGGCCAGAGCCACCGTGTTTGCGAGCACTGGACGGATGCGTGTCCCCTTCACTTATACAAGCAGGGAGAGGGGTGCCAATGGGATTGATCGACCCTCAGAGAACCACGTTGATGGGGTCTTTGACGGCGTGTCAGCGTACAACATCCACGCAATTTTAAGTGATGGTGAGTCGGAAAGAGATTTTCCTTTGGTTCTGGCCGATGGGTTTTATCACATGGAAGAGTAGGATTAAATAAATTGCATGGTTTATCACCTTTATGAACTGAACGTCACTTTTGAGATGCCGAAAGCTTTGCCAAACAGCCAGATTATCCAAATCGGGCCAGCCCACTGGCTGCTAGGAGATCATACCATAGCCATTCATCGGGCTATAGACCGTGACCCCAGCACACAAAAGAGGAGTTGCATACCTGCGAGCATGGAATAATTTCAAGACTATTCAACCATTTTGTTACATGATTGTTCCATCAATGTTCTCATAGTTGCACGTTAGGAGCAGTAATTCTCCCATTTGGTGGCCTATCACTATGCCAACAATCTCATGTCTCAGAGAAAAATAAGAAAAAAAAAGAGAGATGAAACTGTCAAACCAAGAAGAAGATTCTCTGGCCATGCTCTCGTCCCAGCCACCTGTCGCGTCCTTTTGCAATATTGGAGAGGGATGCACAGTCTACATGTTGCGGTCGGCAGAAGGTGAACGCCCCAACCCCCAAGGAGCCAGCGAGGGTGCCCAATCTAGTCAAGAACGGCAAGAGAAGAGTTGGAGCCTTAAAGTACAGTCACTTGATCCATAAACCGAAGCTCAAAAGGAACTTGTTGAGCCCTAAGGGCGTGGGTGTCTCAACTTGCTAGTGGACGTGCTTCCTTCACCATTAAACATTAGGTTCTTTGCAATACTGATTGTCACATCATGCTATGATTGGGTGTGACTGTGTGATGCCAATTCCCTCCAAGAGGCCTTTAGCCATACAATCTCATGGCAGTCAGCAGTTAAGGCAATATATTTAGCCTTTGCAGAAGAAAGAGCAACCACAGCTTGCCTCTTGCTTGCCTATATGGGAAAACACAAGATTACTAAGTTAGCGATCCTGCACATCAACTTATCAAATAGATGCATTAAAGTGACACATAAAGTTAACTAAGTAAAATTCTTACAGCCCACTTGATGGGAGCTCCACAAAGTTGCATACAAAATCTGTAGTGGTCAACTGGCACCCTTTGTTTGTGGCCCAGTTGGCACCTGTGTAGTAGATTAGGCTTGTGTCATAGCGAGAGCAGCATAGTCTTTGGTTTATTATCCCCTTCAAATATCTCAAAACATATTTTGCAGCTTTTCAATGTCCTGTGCAAGGCTCTGAATTGAACTGGCTGAGCATGATAGTTGCATAGCAAATGTCAAGATAAAAAGTACATCAAGCAATTGATCAAGTTCTGACAAGGAACTTGTGAATCAAGCATGCCTCTTACATCTTGAGGCATAGCAGAGTTGACAACACCTGCTACCATGGGTGTGTATAGGATGGCAATTTTCCATGCTAAACCGACATGGGAGCTGTTCAGTGTTTTGAGAGCATCATCTTTTTCCATTCCTGTTCCACTTGGATTCCCAAAATTTCTTTTTGTCACCCTAAGGTCTTTCATGCAAAAGCATTAGGCCAAGCTCTCTTTTAAGTGCTGGATAGCATCATCATCCCCTCCAATGACATTAACGTATAAGGCAATAAGGATCATACTATCACCTTTTACTTTGGCATATACATTGAGTTGAAGTCTTCTTCAATCTCCATGCTTTCTTTACATTGCCATGGCTAAGGGGAATATCTCCTTATCAAGAGATCCATAGAGAAATGCAATTTTAACATCCATTTGGTGGACTTTCCACAAACCTTGATCATCTGCACTACTGGCAAAAAACTTTCATTATAATCCACCCCACCTTTAGCAACAAGGTAAGCCTTGTAGTTTGGCTGCATTGTGAGTTCTTTTGAGCAACCACTTGTGATCAAGAAGCTTTCAATCAGGGTGAGAAACACTCTTCAAAAGTGTTATTTGGCAAAAGGGCATCTATTTCATTCTTGATGGCATTTATCTAGGATTGGACTTGTCTCCAGTCAAGGCCTCATGGTGCATTGATGGGATTTGATTGTCCACAAACATGTAAAATTCAGCCTCATCATCAGTAAAAAAGGGGTATCACATCTTTAAGCACCTTTTGAAAGGGTTATCACACACATGGATTAAAATAAGATATAGCAAACCTTTACTTCAAGGGATGATAGGAGGTAATGGCTAATTGGGCAGAGGGTCACTTCCACCAACATGATCCTCATGAGGGTCATCAATTGGCACTAGGATTGTTAACAATAGTGGTGTTGTTACCGAGCTAAATTGGAATAAGTTGGACAAGCTCAACAAACTTAGGTGACACTGCATCCAATAGTTGCTCCTATGAAAAGTTATTCTTATAAAAAAATTATGTCTATACTAAGCACTGTTTCCTTGGTGGAGGGATCCCTTAATTTTTAAGCTTTCCAGCTTCACTCGTCATCATAAGCATATCCCATGACGATGAGTATTTGACATTTTAGATCAAGCTTTTTGTGGAGCAAATCCAAGATGGTGCACAAATTGTGTAATTGAAGACTTGGAGATGAGAGACATCATATTTTATGCCAGTCTAAGCTTCTTTGGTAGCCTTTCCTTTGAGTGTGACCATGAATAAATTTTTAATATACATGGCTACCACAATTGCTTCCTGCCAAAATTCTTTGTGAAACTTGTTCTCAGCAAGGAAGCTACAAAGAACATTCACCAATGTTTAATTCTTACACTCCACAACACCATTCTATTGTGAGGTGTAGTGATATCCATTGGAGGGCAAGTCTGGTGCCAGCAGCCGCGGTAATTCCAGCTCCAATAGCATATATCAAAGTTGTTGCAGTTAAGAAGACTTGAATTTTCTTCACAAGATTCGTCTAGACTGTGGCCTTGTAAAGTTTAAAGGCCTCCACTACTTTACTTATTCTTTTTGGCTAAAATTATCAATCAATGTCATAATATATCCTGCACCAAATGATTAGGTGGTCCACAAAAGTTTGA